GGGCACCGCTGTGCTCCCTCTGCCGTGGCAGGGCTGACTCGCGCAGCTGACTCTGCCGCTCCCTGCAGGCCCCTGGAGCCCCGGAGGGTCCCGTCGCCCACCCTGTCTAACCCGGGCTGTAGTCTTCCAGAGGAGCGAGCTGCCCGGACAGGCTGGAGATGGGCTGCGAGGAACAAGTGTCTGGGCAGAGGAGCAGGGGAGGACTGCAGGGTGGAGGCCAGCCCTGCCACCTGCTTCCTTGCAGCCCAGCAGAGCTGGCTGCTTCTCCAGCTCTGAAGCAGTCCTAGAAAATCCCCTTTCTTTCTCTCTTTCCTTCTGCATCACCGTGCAGCCTGCAGCAAGGCAGGAGCAGCCCGTCTCCAACACCTCCCCTAAACCTTGAGCCCTGGCGCCCAAGAGAGACGGCTCTGAACAGAGCTGGCCTCCGCTGGGCTTGGTCTCCCTCGTGGCTTCTTGGACTGACCTGAAGTCTTCTGCTGCCGCCTTCGGGACAGCTCTCCCGCTTCCCCCTACCATGTGCCAGGGGACCCGAGAGTCCCCAGCCAGGCTGACAGGGGCCGTCACGCCCTGCAGCATGGCTGTCTGTCCAGTGCCACCAGTGTCCCCACCAGCCAGATCGTCGGGATGTCACCTCTGGGTGGAGACTGTGGTTTAATCAGCTTTTCACTCAGCCGGAGACCTGCACGCTGTGTGCACTACATTTCTGTGAATTTATTTTTGTTTTACCTCTCTCCTTTCCATTCTCAGGCCCATAATGAGGATCTTACAGCCAGGGAGACCTGCAAGGCTGGCTTCTCCGAGGAGGACTACACAGCATTAATCTCCCCCAATATTCTGCAGGGAGAGAAGCTCCTCAAAGGTAGGGTGGCATGAATAGGGAGGGGTGGCTGTGTACTGGGGGGGTGGTTTAGACAGGCAGGGCCCTTCGGGCTCCTCTCCATACGGTGATGCCCGTGAGATCAGCGGGGCACAGCGTGGTGGACCTGAGACATTCGGCATCCAGGTGTATGATTCAGAACCCCTGTCATTTTTGAGTGAGGTGAATCATTTCCTGGGCAACAAATTGGAATTCGGAAGTAACGTCACCCAAATAATGTGCAGAGAGAGACTTTCTTACCAAGTATTTTTATGTATGAAATTCTGGATTCTTAAATTATCCCTGCTTTGAAATGCATGATAAAGCAGACGATGTTGTTGGAAATGCAGTAAATAAGCCCACAGACGTTCTGTTCACAAATGTGGCATTCATTTTCATTACTGCCCCACTGACAACATGAAAACACACATGCAGGAGGGAACTACCAATTAGCTTCGCGGTGCCTGCAGGATCCTGTCCATGTTTCCGACGGTGAATCGGAGGCAGCTTGAGCTCACACAGTAGATCATCCTGCACATCGATCTGTTTCCCTTTCGAGACAAACTAATTAAACTTTATATTTGCATAGAAGAAACAAATGAGTTCTTGAATCCCCAAGGTTCCAGAGTCCCATCTTGAGCCTTCCCTCACTGCCTCAGTTTCCTAGGAGGGGCTGCCTCTGAGCTGGGAGCTCCGTAACGGGGGCCGGCTGTCCATAAAGTGTCAGAGCCAGATTCCTCTCTCAGATCACCCTCAGGCTGCTGACTTTTCCCCAGTTCTGTGTTCTAGGAAACAGAGACTTTTCGTGTGTGTGTGTGTGTGTATATGTGTATGTGAGCTCTCACACCGGTGGGTGACTTTCTAGATTCTCACCCTTCCAGATGAGACTTGTTGATTTTCTTGTTTGTTCCTTGTTATGTGAATTAGCTTTTTTATTTTGTACCGAATCCAACTTTTCTCGGTTTTGTTTTCTGATCTGTGATGCTGTCGTTCTTGCTGATTATAAAAAGGCAAAAAATTTCCAGGCAGCCTGATGCACTGACTCAGCAGGTGTGCTTGAGGAAGCTCTGCTCCTTTCCTGTGTGGTCGTTTTGGAGAGGATGAGGTGGCTTTGGTTTACTGACAGCCCTGAGGCCCCACAGAGCTGACCTGGCTGCCTTTGAACTGCTGTGGGGCTCTGGGCACTGTGATTCAGCCCTGCTCTCTGTGTCCTGCGCTGTGGCTGTGGTGCTGAAACAGCCCCCAAAGCCCCTGGGAGCCCAAGGCTGAAAGTGGGCAGACCTTGCGCCTTCATGTTACCTGGGCCTGAAGGAAGATGTCTCCAGAGAGAATGGCGGCCCCTCACGCTGTGAGATCGCAGACCAGCACATGGATCCCCCAGACCGTGTGCTTTGCTCTTGGGGGTGTGGTGGGGAGCCAGCCTGGCCTGGGCCCCATAGTGGTCACCGGGTGAGGATGGGAGCCTCATCGTCCCAGGTGAGCTCCAACCGTCTCACTGGCATTGCGGATGCTCGGATTTCCCAGGCCTGTGTCCCCTGAGACGCTGCACCCGGCCTGGGGCAGGACCTGGGAACCAGCCGGGCCTCCAGGTCACGCTGTGTCTCCCCCACCAGCCGCACCGTCCCATCCTTATTTTCTTCCCTCCCTCCTCCTAAGGTGCACACGCCCAGGAAGGAGCAGAGCAACGTTTTTCTGTCTTAGAAGTAATTTTACACATCTGGGGGCCAAGCTAAAGCTGTGATACTCTCAAGCCGGGGCTCGCCAACATTTCTGTATGTGTGGAAAACGCAGCCGCTCCCAGAACACGTCGAGGGTGGCTGTGTGGAAAACAAGTGAGAAGCTGGTGTTTCTGTTTCTCTGGTAAGAATCAAGTTAAATAGATAATGACTGCTTCTAATTGAGTTAATCCAATGGAGAGAGCTGAGCCTTAATTTGACTGGCAGAGCCTCGCGAGTGCCCGCCTCGCTGTGAGGACGCCTGAGCGATACGGCCACTCTGTGCCCCGTCTTGCCGGAGTCAGAACACACAGATTCCAGCAGGAGCGATTTGTTCTGCAGTAATTAACTTGTTTATGATAAATGGATGGAAGAAATGTCGTGGCATTTTGTTTTATGTCTAAATGAAAAGTATTTGCATTCTAAAAATTTCATGCTAATTAGGCTTAAAATAGTTTTCCCCAATGGGGTAACAAATACGATGTATTACACACCTCGGGAGGAGCGGCGGCTCGAGCGCGGACGTCCGAGCGTTGTGTTGGCTGATGGGGCTTCCGGGTCCCTCGGCCTGGCTTCCGTCTGGTCTTTGTGTGCGCGTGTGGCCGTCCTGCGGGGACCCCGAGCCTGGTGTGCTTTAGGGTGCTGCACGCGGGGCCCTGACGGCCGATGCGGAGCCCGCTGTGCAGACTGTTGGCCACTGTCCTGGGCTAAAGTGGAGCCCTGTCAGCCGCAGCTCAGTCGGGCGGGTGCGAGCTGGTGTTTCTTTCTCCGCTGTTAATAAATAACAGCCGGATGGCAGGAGGCTGCGGTGGGCGTGATGACCTGAGCTGTCCCCAGCCAGGGCGGTGACTCGGGACGCAGGGCTCAGGGTATGCCCAGGGCGTGCAGGGGTCTGGGCATCACCGGAGGGGAGCGGGCGCTGTGGCTCAGGCACCGCCCAAGGCAGAGCTCGGCTTTCATGGCCTGCGGAGATTCCCTCTGGAAAGTCCCCCCACCCCACCCGCCAGGTCCCCGCTGTGGCGCGGTCACGTCACTGTCCACTCCCCTCTCACCTAAACAGGAGAGGTCATCGGGCTGAATCCTGTCATCTCTACGCCGTTCACTGTTTCAGGGTATTCTTGGCCCACAGGATAGACCTCACTTAACAGGATCTTGAATAAATGGGGGTTTGTTTTCCTCATGTTTGAGTGAGGGCAGAGTTATTGTCAAGGGCAGAAGCATCATCACAAGCCAGTCTCGTTCTTACCATTCTGCCATGTTTGGTTTGTCAGTTTATTGCCTCATTGTTGCAAACTAGCTACTGTGGTTCCACATATTGCATCTGAGTTCAGAGCAGAAGAAGGCGGAAAGACTAGCCCTGCCTGTATTTCTTTTCTGTACCCGGAAAGTACTTTCTCAGAAAGTTTCTGCAGAAGTTCACATTGGCTAGAATTGGGTCTCATGTCCCTCCCCGCTGAATGGGGCAGGGAGGCTGAGAAAGCAGGTGCCGTGTTGTCTTTTGGCTCCGGCTGATAGTAACCCGGCGCCTCGATGCTGAACAAGTTGCTCCTCCCAGGATGGAGTCAGGCCCTGTTTCAGGAAGGAGGACGGGGTGCCTGGTGGACACCCCGAAGCCTGCTGCTGGGGTGTCCCCGGCACCCAGCGGGAGCAGGTTGGACCCGCGGTGACATGTTGGATGACTGAGTGACCCACGAAGATCAGATGGCGGAGGAGCTGGTACAACGTGGCGTCGGAAGCCAGGAGCAGCAGCAGGTGTGGGTGGAGTTGCGGGTCCTGGCCGAATCAGGACAGCGAGTCCCCCACGCACCCGTGGGGCCCTGAGCCGGTGACCCTCGCTGGCCGCTGGCCTGTGCTGAGAGCTCCAGGCCCGCAGGCTGCCCACTCTTCCTCTGCCAGCCTCTCCTTTGCTGCCACAGGCCTCAGTCTCTGATTAAGTTTGGCATTGAGTTCAGCTCAGTAGCCGGCCTGCCTTCTTCCCCTATCCTGGCTGGGACACAGACGCGATGTCCAGGGTAGCACAGCCACTTTGAGCTCTGAGGGCAGTGCACAGAACTGTACTGCACAGCCGCAGAGCCCAGACACATGTCAACTGAGGTGAGAACAAGGAGATCTGTGTGCAGGGCTGGTGCTGTCCTGAGCCCCGTGTGGGCGTGTCGCTTGGCCTCTGCCCCTCCTGTCCTGCTGGATCAGAGGCTCCACTCCACTCTGGCTGCAAGACATGCTGCAGCAGACTGCAGGGGCCGTTAGGCTTGAGGCCAGGGTCACCGGCGGCCCCAGAGCGCAACGGCAGCCAGGCGCCTGGGAGCCCTCTGGAGGCCGGTGGTCAGATGCCCACAGCAGCGCCTCTTCAGGGCTGAGTAGCGCAGCGCTGGCACCTCTGTGGCCAGTGCGGCTCTCCTGCCAGCCTCCCTGCTGTGGTTTCTATCCACGTTGCGGCCTGGACTGCAGCCGCTGTGGGGTGGAGGCTCAGAGCTCCGTGGGAAGGAGCACTGGAGCCGCACTAAGAGTGGAGCAGCCTCTGAGATGCACAGAAGCCTGCGTGGCAGCAGAGGCTGAAGCAGGAGGCCTGCAAGTCCGGGCCTCCCTGGGAGACTTAGCGAGACCCGGCCTCAGAATCAAAAGGGTTGCGCGGCCCAGCCTCCCTGGCGTTCTGCCTGCAGCCCGAGGCCGCGTGCATCCTACAGTGCCCCACAGGCGCGCGAGGCCCCGAAGCGGCTGGCACGAGTCAGCCAG